GCCCGCTGGGCCCAGCCTGGCTCCGGTCGCCCGCCCTGGGACAGCGCGACGGCCTGGGCGCGTCCTTCCTCCAGTCACCCTCCCCCCAGCAAGTGGCCGCACTCGGCCGCCCCCACCCCGGCCACTCCTGCTCGAGAACCTACCACGGCTCCCAGGCTTTCCGCACGCACGCAAGGTGGGCAGGCACCCCCTCACCCCCACCTGACCCTGGCCATTACTCCTTCCCCGGGTTCCAAGCAAACATCCTGCCAGGGGCAGGGTACACCTCCAAATAATGGTCTCCTGTGCCTGGGGAAGACCTAGCTGCCAGTGACCCAAGTGTCCTCTGCCTCCTCCCCACAGGCTGTCCCCTGTCTCTGAACACGCCCTACTCAGCCCCGCCTTTGACCATCATCTGCTTTCTCCACGAATGCACCCCCCCCCGCCCCCCAACACCACACTGAACTATTAGTCCTTCTGTCACCTATTCTTAGCCCTGACCATTGGCTTAGGTTCAGCCTGGACGCAGAGAAGACAGACCCCTCTTCTCTCCTGATATGGAAGGACACCCACCTTCCATGGGTGCTGGGTGCTGGGAGAAGCACAGCCACATCACGCCAGAACCTGGGGCACTGCTCTGCAGGCCCACAGAGCTGGGACTGGACGCCGGGGTCGTGCCTGTCAGATCTTCACTTGGAGACACACAGTGCAGTCACGCGCTCACTCTTTTGCTCATGCAAACACCCTTTCAGAGCACAAACTGCGGGCATGGGAGGGCTGGGTGACTCATGGGCAACTTCACAGACAAACTCTGTCCTGCTCCAGAGAGAGGGGAGACATACTTTCAAGGACCCCCACTTCCAGGGCCAGGGATTCCCCAGGACACAGCTGCTCGATGAATGTCCTCTTTGTTTGAATTAGAAAACATTACTCCTAGGCGGAGGCAGTCCACAGCAAGGCAGACAGGACTCGGTGAGTGAAGGGCAGCCTGGATTTCATACCTGAGCGCGCCCTTGACTGGCCTCTTCCTTGTGCAGTGAGCAACCTGGGCAACCCTCTACGACACGCCTCCAACTTTCCAGAATCAGCCCAGCCCTCCCATGCCCTTCACTCTGCTGTTTCCACGGCTGTGGCTTCCCAAGTGACCAGCTCCTCCCGGTCTGTTTTTCTCCTCCCAGCTCAGCCCAGCCCAGCCCAGCCCAGCCCAGCCCAGGGTCTGGCCCAAAGTAAAGCGTCATTATGTTTGTTGACTTGAATGTTTCACCAAATAAGTCTTGAGCAACTTCTTGCTGTCTTCCTAACCCTGTTCTTTTTGCTATTTAGAGGAAAATGGAGAAGAACCAAGGAAGAGCTTAGGACAGGACAGGGCCTTAACCCTCCAAGTCTGGACAGGCCTGTGCAGGAGATAAGATGCGGACCAAGTCTGGTAACCCAGACGGGTGGGAGATAAGGGGTGTCAACCCAGGGCTGCAGCCCAGAGGAAGCGAGGACGGGGCCTCAGCTGGAGGAAGGGGTGCTGGCGGGCTGAGGAGGTCGATGAACAAAGCCCAGAAGAATGAGTTGGGGTGCTGCTCAACACCTCACTTACCCCAATACCCCACCATCTAGGTCCTTTTACGTGGAACTCCAGCCCTCCCTAACTTCGCGCACAGCCCATTAAGCTCTGTTCCTTAGCTACAAGTTAAGGAACTTGCCTGATGTCACACAGCCAGGAGTGGGGGGAGGAGGGTTATGCCCGTTTTCCCAAAAGACAGCTCAGACGCCAGAGGGCTTGCTGGAAGCTGATCAGTTAACAAAGGGCTATACTAGGTGACTGCCCTCCACAAACCTCGCCCTGACCCCCACCATCCCAGCCTGGCAGCCTGGGCCGCAGACCTTTGTGGGGAGGCTGACGAGACTCCAGAGCCTCCCAGCCTGATTTTGCACTTAGGTCTGTCCTCAGCTCACTGTGTGACCCAAGAATGAGTGTCTTACCCTCCCTGAGCCTCAGACTCTGTACAAGCACCGAGTGGGGCAAGGCAGTTGCAACCATCTCCGGGAGCTGACCTCGTGGGAGGCTCATGAAATTCCTCCAAGTTCCATGTCAGTGCCCTGCCTGGACTCAGCCTTCTCTTCCCCTCCCCCAAGGTGCAGACGGAGCAGAGGGACCCCCCACCTACCCTCCGCGTCCCACGTCCTAGCTCACCTGTCTCTGTCCCAGGGCTCCTCTCTCAAGTTCCCCTCAAGGGCAGGAGCGAGACACGATGGGGCATAGCGGACAGTCCCTGCGCTCATGGCCAGGAATACAGGGCAGGCGCCTCGGGCAGGACACCCAGAGCGCTCCTCGGGGCTGTCCATGCCTGATGAGTCAGATGAGGGTTCCTCTGGAGACTCAGGCAGGCAGGTGACAGGAGACTTCTTCCCACCCCAGCCGAGCCCCACACTAACCTTTGCTATCTCTGCGGAACAGCACAGCGGCTGGCCTGCGAGGGAGGAACCTCCCAGACAGGCCTCTATCTTCTCAAACCCGTAATTATTAACTCCCGTGGCCCTGCAGGCAGCAGAAGACTGGGGCCCTCCCTCCTGGGCTCCAGGCCAGAGAAGGTGAGACACCTTGAGGTTGCTGGGAGCCTCCCTCCATATGCCCAAGGCCCGTGGGCTCCAGCGAGGCCCGCAGATGGGTCCGCCTGGCTTCTCCCCACCCAGCTGCATGTGGGAGAGAGCCGATGTCGTCCTGGACCCTTCACTAGCTGGCCGTGTGGCCTTAAGCCAGGTGCCGGCTGACCCCTCCTTCAAATATTCAGCTGTCAACAAAACGGATAACTCAGCGTGGCAGTTAGGAACACAGGCTGCAGTCAGGCTGGAGTCACCCCACTTCGACTGTGAAACTTTGAGTTAGGTTGCCTGGACCTCAGTTTCCCCAATGATAGAATGGAACCTCACCCTTTAAGGTACACGAGGCCAGAAGCCCAAGTACAGACATGCTCTCTATGCCCCCTTTCTTCACACTGTCCCCTCTCTCTGCAGTGTCCACCCTGACTCGCCCCTCACTGGTAAATTTCTCTTTGCTCGTTCCCCCTCCTCCAGGAAGTCTTCCCTGTGGACGGCTTCCTTCTCTGGGCATCATGCTGGACCCCACAGACACATGTCCTCCTGGAGTTGCAGATCAAGTGTCCCGTGAAACTGTCAGACACTCCCCCAGGACTGATGACCCGTGGGCAGAGGCTGACCACCTCACTACCAAGTCCTCAGTGCTGCCTGCCTGGCACTGGATAGCCTCAGCCCACTGGGGTGGTTTGAATCTTCCACCTTGTCTCAAGTGGCCTGAATTGTATCCCCTACTTTTTTTTTTTTTTAAGATTTATTTATTTTATACATATAGAACTGGGGTACAGGCCAGAGGTACAAGGGTGGTGAGAGGATTCACCAGAGAGAGTGGGGAGCAGAACAGGCAGATCGATGATGTACACTGCAGAGGCGAGCAGTGGGCGAGACAGGTGAGGTCTGCTGCGCCATGTGGGTCACTCCGTAGCTGGCCGTGATTGAACTCCGGCCTGGCTGGCTTCACAGTGCTGCGCTTTAACGCACTGCACCACCAGGGAGGGCCCCGTAACCCTACTTCTATCATGCCCTGGCTTTGTGGACTTTTTAAGGGCTCTGGTCTATAAAATGGGAGGGGCCGCTCTGAGAACCCAAGGAAGGTGAGACTCTGATGCCGCTGCCACGCCATGGGGGTGGGGGGGCTGGAAAGAGCTTCCGGGTCCCCTGCCTTCCCTCCTCTCTCCTGCCAGCTCTGAGTTCCCGCTGGAGAGCTGCTGCCAGTTCTGGGAGTCACACCCCACCCGCCCTGCGGATAACAATAACTCCCACTCAGTCTTGGGGCTTCTAGCTCTCTGGGCTGATACAAACCAGATGCTGGCCTTCCTTTCCTGGCAAGGCATTTCCCTGGCCTGCTCCCACCCCCTTCCTGTTTTGATCCCCCTGCTAAATTCTCCCGTGCCCCCACCTTCCTCTGTAGGGCAACCTCTGGGCCCACCTGGAAACGATTAATGGAAAACAGGATGTGTGAAAAGGGGGACGTCTCCCCACCACCCCAACATGGCGGGAGGGGAAGGGGCTCAGCTGCCTGGTGGTGAAGCATTGGGGAGATGACCCCTTCCTACCAGGCCCCAGCCAGCCCTTCACGGGGAAAGCTGAGTCAGAGTCTGGGGACTGTAAAAAAAAAAAAAAAAATGGCTCCTTTCTGGCCTTTTTTCTCACAGCTGAGACTGCATGGTGTGCAAGTTCTGTACCTTCAGCGCCAGAAGACCCCGACCTCCTGTGGTGGATGAGGAAACTGAGGCTTGGAGATGCCCCCCCCACGTCTCTGTGAGTCGGGGCCCAGAGGCAGCCAGGCTTGGGGTGGCTTTCAGTAACCCAGGCTTGCTCCTTCCTACCTCCGCGCATTCCTGCCCGCCCTCCCCTGCTGCAGAGCCCAGTCACGAGGAGAGCAGAGCGCTCACCAGGCCACTGTCCCCCACTGCCCAGCCTCCCCCCCGCTGGCAGCTCACACCTGGCCAGAGAGACCTGAAGGCGGCTGGGCTGTAGGGCTGGGCTGTAGGCCTCCGAGGGAGAGCCCAGGAGTCTGTGTATTGGGTTTTTTTCTTTACCCTCTGCCTGAGGAGCCCTCAAGGGCAGCTGGGCTGGCCCTGTGAAGACTCAGCCATTTCCAGGAAAACAACCCAAAGGCCCCCTGAAAGTCAAGCACTGGCCGCCCCTCCCTCCACCAGCTGTGCAGAGTGTTTGGACAACTGGATGGAATGTTTTGCAGCAAGAGCCCTCTCCGGGTCCCCAGCTCAGATTTCGAAGGAGGGAAGGGAGGATGCTGACTCCGGGGAGCAGGGAAGAGGCGTCTGAGGTCAGGCCCAGGCCTGGAGGCCCCCAGCTCAGGCCTGACCAGGCCCCAGTGTGATGGGGCGCCTGAATCAGGCCTGGGCTGTCGGAAGCACAGCACACACAGAGGCCCAGAAGAAAGTCAGATTTGGTGGGGTCAACCCGAGGTCAGGACTCTGGGATGGTCTGGCTGGGGAGAGAAGGGGGGCAGGACAGCACTTTGAGAACACGAAGCTCCCCTCAGAGAGGGCCCCACTATCCTGGTTTGCATACATATGTTAGGGGCCCCCAGGGCCAGGATCTCCCCCAGGTGACGCAGCACTGGCTGTGAGACCCTGATCTTAAGCTTGCTCTTGTCACTGTTCAGGCTGCCCCCGCCCTCACCCCCAGGCCCCAGGGATACCAGACACCCCAGCCGGTGAGTGGCGAGCTGGTGAGTGGGGCTCTACCCCAACAACACAGGCCAGATAAACACTCAACTCTAAGTTTGCAGCAAGAATATGGACACCGTGCCCCCATCAGGACCCCTGAGCCCTCCCGGATCCCCCGCTTCCCAGAGCCCCCAGTAAATAAGACTGAGAAGGGAAAAGTTCCAGACACAATTAGATGAAAGATGGCAAGTTTACCCACCTTAAAATGGAGAGGCTTCTCCTTACTCTACCAGACTTTTCATCATTTTGAGGCTGCTGATAGCGAGGGGTGCTAGTGGACACCTTTGTAGGAAAATATGTCGTAGCAGCGAAACCATAGCTGCTCAGCTGAAGAAAGGGCAGGGGTCCCCTGGGGCCCAGGTGGTGCTGAAAGCCACCTCAAGGAGCCTGGGGGCTGGGGCTGGGTTCCCTGAGGTGAAACTTGTTTACCTGCTCCCATCTCCCCCAGCAGGAAAAGCCAGCCACCTAAAGGAATTCCAGAACCAGCCAAACCTTCAGGGGCAGAAGTGACAGTGGGGGAGGGTGTGACAGCGGGTGTGACACGGCCTTGCAAGATGGCGGCCGTGCACTGGGCTGCTAGAAGCTTTGCATTGGCCATCACACTTAGTTCGCCCTTGCAGTCACCAGATGCCCTCCTTCATGGCATTCTGCTCCCACCTTGAAGACACCGAGACTTGGAAAGGTTAAAGATTTGGCACAGAGAACAAGTGTAGGGACTGAGATTGAAACCCAGGTCTGCCTGGCTGTACAAGCTCCTGTTTTTATCCTCCCCCACTCTTAGGGGAAAGGGGAAAGTGAGGTATGTTAGAGAAAGTGGAGCTTGAAGCAAAGCAGGAGGGTGGGCACTTTATGCAGCCTTCAGGGGCCAAGACTGGGAGGAGGAACCAGGCAGGCACAGCAGAGAGACAAGCCTTTTGCCAGAGCTGGGGCTCCAGCTGTTTTGGGGACACTGGAGGAAGCACAGACTAAGCAGACTTGGGCTGAATCATGAAAAGTCTTGGAAGCAAGTTAAAAAGTTTGGACTTTACTCTAAAGGCTCCAAGGAGACTGTTAAACATTTTTAAGGAAAGTGACGTATTCAGAGCCCTGCTTGGGGAAGATTAAATTGACAGCCGTGTGCATAGAAAATAGAAGTGAACACTTATCAAATATCCGGAAAGGGAAAGACTTTCTAAACTTAGAAGTGTCTGAAGAGACCTCAATAGAAGAAATCAATAGCTCCGTTGACATTAAAATTTAAAACTTCTCTATGTTCCTCCCTTAAGCAAAAAATAACCAAAATTAAAAGGCAAGTAGCCTAGGGGAAATCGTCCTAGGAAATGGTAAATTGTGCAACCTGTTTAATAGATAAAGAATTCACAAAAATCAATAAGAAAAGCACTGGAAGCCCAGTAAGTGTGTTCATTCATTCATTCAACCAACATTTCCTGAGCACTTGTGCCAAGTGTAGATGCTAACAAGACATTGGTAGATAAGAGAACATTTCTGCACTCATGAAGTGTACCCTTCGGGAGAAGGGGCTAGAAGGACATTCAGACACTGAGTTATTGCAGTGGGATGGGTATAAAGAGGGGAGTATATGGCTAACCTAGATTTGAGGTCTGGAGGAGTTTGGGAGTAGGAGGGGGAACCATTAGAAGAGGTGAATTTGGCAAGGGAGTCAGGGTCCAGATCACATGGGGCCTTGGATGACAGTTCAGGATTCAGACTTTATATTTAGGGACCAAGAGAGGGGTGTCATTGAAATGTTTAAGTAGGAGTGTGATGTGATCATACTTAAATGCTGAAAGGATGGCACCTATGGATGTATGTGAAATGGAGTGGAGAGTTTCTGTTTCTATGTATGTGGTAGACTTGGGAGCAGTGAAACACTTTCTTGCTAAAGAAAAAAGATAGCACAGCAACTCATGATTCTTGGAGGCCCTGTTATTTCATAAGATCTCTAAAAACTGCTTCCTGACCCACAAAAGAATGTAAGAATGAAGCTTGGAGTTTGGCCAGGAGGAGATGGAAGAGCTGAATGTTGGGTAATTACATTGAGCCAAGATCCCCAAGGAGGCTGAAGAGTTCCATGTGGGTGTTCTCCCCCACCCCCATTCTAGTTTCTGGAAGAAGCAGATGTAAATCCCCTTTGGGAGAAGGTAGCAAAATTTAGGTATGAAGGATTGCCCTTGATACAAAACAGTGAGTCACAGTTAAAGATCACTGGCACAGAGGAGGCTCATGCCTATGAGTAAGAACCAGAAGGAACAGTACACAACAGATTTAGATGTGCTACTTCTCTAGGTATTCAAGTCCTATATGCAATATAGAAAGATTATGTATGAATTTATGATGAATAAGCAATAAGAGATTATTAAGGAAACCAAGCAGATTTTTAAATGGCCAATGAAATATAACAATGGGTTAAATAGATTAGACACAGCTAAAGAGAGAATTAGTGTCTTGGAAGACACATTTAAAGAATTCATCAGAAAGCAGCACAGAGAGGCACAAACAGAAAATGAAAACATGAAAAAGGCAAAAGAACAAGGAAAACAAGAATGAAAAAGAGCAAAAAGAAAAAATTAATAACAGGGGGAAAAATCAAGAAGATAAAACAAAGAATGTTTAGTAGAGTTTCAGTTTGGGAAGCTCAAGAGTCCTGGAGGGCCCACCCTGGTGGTGCAATGACTTAAAGCACAGCACTAAGAGGCTGTCTGCAGCATGAGTTTGATCCCTGGCCAGGGAGCTGACCCACATGGCATGGCAGAGTTCTCCTGGCCCTCCTGCGGCTCCCCTCAGCACTGTAGTTCAGTGGATCTGCTTGTTCTGCTCCCCACTCTGTCTCTGGTGAGTCCTCTCATCCACCACATCTCTGGCCTGCACCCCAGATCTTGTATGCATAAATAAATAGATAAATCTTTAAAAAAAAAGTTGAGGCTGAAAATAGTTAATTTCACTAGAAAACTATAGCAATGTAAAATGCTTAATAAGAGAACTTAAAATTATTTTAAGAAAAAAATCAGTAGAGCTACAAGGGAAAATGAGACAAACCTGCAGCATAGTGTGAAGTATCAACAAGTCTCAATTATAAGTAGGTCACAGAAGGAAAATCTCAGGAGCTGGCAGCGACAGAGACCTCTTGCTTTGGTAGTGTAAAGACTAAATCAGGACTTCCAAATCCAAACTAATTAAGAATTGATTTGATCCCTATATCCTATCCAACCATTTCACATTGCTAAGCAACTGCCATTTTCCCAGTCTAGAATAAAACTGAAAATTTATTCCATGGAGACAGTGAAACAGGGTCACTGGGACACTAGATGACTAAAAGGTTTAAGTGCTGCACACAATGGAACATCCAAACCACCGGCCCACCCTCTCCTCTCACTTGATAGCCAGACAGCTAGTGAGGCTCCAGACAGCAGGTTATGAGAGACTTCCCTGGGCACGATGGTCAGCCCAAGGTGAGAGAATGATAGACCCCAATTCTAGCATTACTCCCAAAATGCCCAATTGGGCCACCATTTTGTGAAATCAAAGGCAATATGTTTTGATCACAAAATTCTCATCAATTTTTAACCTTTCATTCTTAATAATGACCAGAAAACTAAAGATGATTAGACAGTGAAGGGGAGCCCCTAACATGAAGACAATCAAACTTAGTGGGGGGTAGGGAGGTTGGGGGGTGGGGGTGAAGAGCATCTTGAAGGAAGGGGAAAAATCTGTCGTTAATATCCTCAGAGAGAGAGAGAGGGAGGTATTGCATTAATAAAATAAACATAATGTTATAGAAGGAAATATTCAGAGGACAAAAAAGGACTCTTGGGAGTTAATACATATTTATTGGTCTGTTAAGGGCAGATTAAAAAAATTTTTTTGAAAACATGAGCAGAATTGGAAAACAAAAGGAAGACAAAGTTGAGGTATTCTGAGGAAAATTTTTTTTTTCTCCATCTCTAGAACTTTTAAACAAGAAGCAGGCTATCAGCTCCCAAAATACAACAGTGAGGCAATTTCAAATGGCAGCGAAATCAAAGCAATTTAAACACCACCAATTCAAAATCCATCAGGGACCATTCCATTAGTTTTCAAGGTCTAGGAGTCCCCTCCACCCCCCATTCACTGTTTCAGCCTCTGACTCTGTGATTGACTTCTAGGTTGGAGACTTGCCCTTGGGTCCAGAACTCTTCCCTTTGAGTCACTCTTCTTAGAGTACGTAGGTGTTTCAAGCTTATAGTTTTATAAGCCCATGTCCTGACTGCAGAATTTTGGGATCCCATCAGTCTCCAACATTCCTTCAACTCTTTTCTTTCTTTTCATTCAACTCTTTTCATTATTCTTTCCTTCCTTTCATCTTGTCTCTCTCTCGCTCAGTTCAAGCTAGCAGTGTTTGGACTGGTATAACTTTCTAAAATGCCTGTGGGTTTCCTGTGTATGTCACAGAGATTCACATCACTAAATAAGAATGCTCCACAGGTATTTCCTGGGTAATTCCATCTCTACCCCTGGCTTCTGCTGAGATGCATTCAGGACTTGCCCACCAGTATCCTCAATGCTAGCACAGGACTGTCTAGTCACAGAGTACATTTTTCTAACAGTAACTTGCCTATTATTAGCAGTATTTGCTATCTGGGTAGACAGCAAATTTCCCAGGCCAGCAAGGGCTGGTTCCTGTTTGTGTCCAAGTTCTCCTAGTTTATTATACTCAGCAAGAAGAAACAGGGACACATCATCAACATTTGGCTTGGAAATTGCCTCAGCTAAAATCTGCCATTTACACTTCTGCTTACACTTACAACTTCTGCTTTCCACACCCTGTAGGATACAATTCAGCTAGATTTTCTGCCTGCTCTATAAAAGAGATCGGCACTTCTTTAGTTTCCAGTAACACTTTCCTCATTTTGTTCTGAGCCCTCACTGAGGGCCTTGAACAGTCCTTCTTCTACCAAAAGTCTATTCAACACTTTTCCACCCTTATTTCTTAAAAATTTTACACTCTACCAACTACCCGATTTCAGAGCCATATCTGGTATCTGGTACAGCAGCACCATGCTCTCAGTTCCAAACTCTGTATTTATTTTATATGGCGACTGTAAAAAAAAAAAAATCACAAACTATGTAACTTCTAACAACAGAAATTTCTCAGCATGCTAGAAACCAAAAATCCAAATTTAGTGTCACTGGGTCCAAATCAATGCATGAGAGGTCTGCATTACCTCTGGAGTTCCCTTCCTTGTCCACTGATTCTGCAATGTTGTGATTTTGCTATGATATCACCATTGTCATATTGCTCTTAAAGAGAGCAACAGGTTTGCAGAGTCAATGCAATCTCCACCACAACACCAGCCGCCTCTTCCGCAGGGACAGACAAGCAGAGCCCGAGGCTACATGGCATCGCAAGGGCTCCTGAAAAACCAGAACAATCTTGAAAGGGAAGAATAATGTTGGAGAATGATACTTCCAGAAACTTCTACAAAGCGACACAGCCCTAACACGTGTTACTGCCTTAGGACAGACAGGTATAGATGACTGGATGGAACTGAGAGTGCAGAAGTAAAACCAAACATCTGCCCGCTGAGTTTCAGTCAGAATGGCATGACCTGTGCATGTGTGTGTGTGGGGGGATGGCAACTGGTGGCCTAGAAGTTAAGGCTCAGTGCTGTCACCACTGGCCTGAGTGCCATCTCTGGGCCAGGGAATTAACCCACGCAGGGCAGCAGTCCTCTCCTGTCTCACTCGCTGTCCCCTCGCTGTATTTCAGTAGATCTACCTGTTTTGCTCCCCACTTTATCTCTGGTGAATCTTCTGACCCCCTCATCTTTGGCCTGTACCCCAGTTCTTCTATGCATATACATATACATACATATATATATATACACACATACATACATACATACATACACACACACACACACACATATATATATAATTCTTAACAAAATAAAAAAGAATGCCAAGAACATTCAGTGGGAAAGTAACAACCTTTCAGCCATTGATGCTTGGTTAAAAGGATGATTTTTAAGCTACATGAGTTTTACCTCAATATTTAAAAAAGAACCAGAGGAAGTGCATGGGAGAGCATCACCTGCTGTGAGTGTGCTATCTTACCGCTCTGAGCTTGTGTTGACAATAGACACACACGCTCACGTCGCAGCAAGTCGCCCAACTTCGCGGCACACACAGGTCTCCTGGGACTGGTTAAAAAGTGATTCTCACCGAGCGGGTCTAGGTTGTGCCTGAGAAGCTTCCAGGTGGTGATGACACCACACCAGACAGTAGCAGGACTACGGCCTGGTGACCGGCCCAATGGAACGTGCCTCTGGCTGCCCTAGAAGCTGACGCACAGACTCTCCGAGCAGCCAACCTGGTCTCTGCCCACCGGGTCCAGGGGTCCCCTCCAAAGACCAGCAGCCTCCGTGCGGCCCTGCGCTCACGGGCCAGGAGGCCATTTGCCCGGCGCTTGCTGCCAGGGTTTGGAGCAGGGCTTGGGTGCGAGTGGAGCCCCGGGCAAGCTCAACCTTCTCTCTGGGCCTTGGCCCCACCTGTACCAGGTGGGTACTTCCTGTTCCCCAGGTGTCCTGCTGACGAGACTTTCTAAGAAATGCTCAGTGCACTGCCCACCAGTGTACCCTGGAAGAGCTCCAGGTACCGGGCACACTGTCGGATTCCAGCTCCAGTGAACAGGGTCCAGAGGAATCTGAAAGAACCTTAAGCCTTAAGGGTCTCCAACACACCACTTTCTTCTTTCTTTCTTTCCCTCCTACAGAGCCCAACACAGCACTGAGCGTAACGGTGTTGAGGGCGTGCCGTGTGCTGACGCAGACCTACCCTGGATGTCAGACTGACAGATGAGGAGACCGAGGCTCTGACGTGTGGAGAAGAGGGTCGGCGCCAGGTACCATCCCCCCCACAACAAGAAGCCAGGCCCACTCTCCTGCTCTCACCTGCCATCAGCCCCAGTTCTGAGCTGCTGGGGTGGGGTGGGCGTGGGGGCATTTGTGCCTCACCTGGCTGGCCTCAGCGGGGCAGCATCCACGGGGCCAGAGAGCAAGGGGAGCCCAGACTGTCTCTACCCCAGTGCTCTACCCCAGACTGTCATGAACCCGCTTGCCTCTCATCTCCAGCGGGGCTGCTCCCGGCCTGCTGCATGCTATTCTGTTGTCACGGGCAGGAAGGCGGGCCGGGCCCGGAGCATCCAGGCTGCGTCTCCCTCTCCTGGTCCTCCTGGTCTTATCCTTCTGCAGGAGTCAGAGGGTACATGTTCATCTCTGTGTGTTGCGTCTACACAGCCCTCCGGGGAGCACAGGGTGGAGGTGCTGGGGTGTGTCTTGCGTTCAGGCTCCAGGCTCACAGTTCCCCTCCCCTCCTGGTCCAGCTGGGCCAAGTCCCCTCCTTTCCTTTCTTGACTGCTGCCCTGTCCCTTCTATGATTGGCCCAAGAGAGGGGTGTGGGCTGGCAGGTGCCCTGTGTGAACCCTGGGAGCAGCATCCAGGCCTGGCTGGCCCACCCCAGGGCCCTGTCCACTGTCCCCGGCCAAGCCCTCCTGCCTGGCTGAGGCAGGCCCTCTGTGATGCTGCTGTTGCTGTGGCGATGCTAGATGAAAAGGCCACAAAATTCTGCCTCTGGAACCTTCACCCGTCTGCCCAGCTCTGCTCTGCTCGCCCTCAGAGATGGCTCTCTGCTGGGGGGCTCGAGAGCACAGGCCCGGCTGCAGTCACAGTCTTGTCTATGCGCCCCCCAACGCCTGGACCTCCCTCCAACCCCAACAGAGACAACTACCCTAACTGGTAAGTCTCTACCCCTCTGAAACTGACCTCTGTGGGGAGGTGATGGTGGGGAGAAGAAAGGGCAAAGATTCGAGGTCAGAATACTTAGGTTCTGCTTTTTATCTGAAATCTTCTAGCTGTGTGGCCTTGGGCAAGGCAGGCCGTGAGCTTTGCTGTTCTCCTCTGTAAATGCAGGTTGTACTGCCTGAACCATGTGTCTCTGCCTCTTCGCGGGCTGATGCCCTGATTCAGAATGCTCTTCTAGGCTTATGGGCTCCGACGACCTCCTATTCTTGCGTCAAGACCCAGCTCGAAACTTCTCTAAGTTTCCTTCACCTCTGTGTACTTGGCATGGGTATCAGGCCTTGCCATTCATGTTGGTTGTTTAAGTGTTTCCTGGTTTTTATTTGAGTCTGAATTCTTGGAGGCAGGAGTCTGAATTCTTGGAGGCAGGAACCAGAAGACTCTTGGGTCTGGCATCAGAAATGGTTTGTTGAACAACTGCCTAGCAGAATGGAAAACAGAAAAGGCCAGCTCTGACTGTGTTGGTGCCATCTTTGGAGGGGTCGGGCCAGGGCCCTTGGGTTAGTGGTGCTTTGGGGGGTCTTTCCATGTGCTTGAGCCAAGCGTAGCTGGCTGGGGATACTGTCATACCCAGTGTGGCTGGGGTGCTGTCTGAGGGCAGCAGCTTCACCACAGGGTGTCTCTGGGGACATCCTGGGGCATCTGAGGTGGGAGTAACTGTTAGGGCAGCACTCAGAGGCTGGTCTTATACTTTTGGGATATTGCCAAGGAATCTACAGTTCTTGTGGCGGGGAGGGGAGGCTGGACTCCAGTTTCTTCCAGCTCCCTCTCTTGGTTCTATAGCTGCTGGTCAGGATCACGGAGATGAACGAGCCTTCCAGAGTTAGCTCTACAGAACCCCAGTTCCTGACCAGCAGACCAAGTTCCCCACACCTCACTCTCTGCCAGAGGCAGCTGGTCAAGGGCGCCCTCTAGTGGACACCATAGGGAGGCAGTAAACTGACCCACAAAGGCAGGCGTTTTCTATTATCTTCCAAGGAAAACAGTAAGCTTCCCACCACCACAACCACCACTTCACCACTCCGCTCCTTTTCCCACTGCCATGGCACATGGGCACAAGTTTAATTTTTAAAAAGATTTATTTTATTTATTTATGCAGCTGGGGTGCAGGCCAGAGGTGCAGCTGGGGTTGAGGGGGCCGTGAGAGGATTCACCAGAAGGCGGAGTGGGGAGCAGAACAGGTGGACTGACTGAAATGCACTTCTGAGTGAGCAGCCAGTGAGATCGGAGAGGTCTGCTGCGCCATGTGGGTCACCTCCCTGGTCAGGGATAGAACAGCTCCAGTGGCTGTTGATAGCTTCATAGTGCTGAGATTTAACCCCAGGGAGGCCTCATATCTAAATTTTTTTTTTATTTAATCATACAGAACTGGGGTGCAGGCCAGAGGTGCAGGGGCAGTGAGAGGATTCACCAGAGACAAAGTGGGGAGCAGAACAGGCAGATCTACAAAGTACACTGCTGAGGGGAGCAGTGGGCGGGTCAGGAGTGGTCTGCCGCGCCATGTGGTCACCTCCGGGCGGGCAGGGATCGAACTCATGCTGAAGTGGCTTTAGCTTCTTAGTGCAGTGCTTTAACCTACTGCGCCACCAGGGAGGGCCCCATATTTAAATTTTAATTAAAATGTTTGTTAATCATTTGCTAAATAGAAAGCGCTCTTGAGTGTTATGTATTGGTGGGAGAAGAGGGAATACAGGGAAAGAAGAAACTACATAGCTGTGATTCTCAACCCCAGACTGTGCCCTGGACTCACCTGGGGAACTTGAAAATATACCAGGGCCTGAGCTCTGTCCAGCCCAGTTGAATCTGGAAGAAGGGGCAGAGATTTGTAGACGCGCAGGTCTGAGGCAGCTGGTCCCCAGTTGACTGAAACATTACCCAGCATCACTCTCACCCGGGAGATGGCATTTTATTATCCCATTTCACAGATGTGGATGCAGCCTTCTCCCATTTCAGTGACCAACAGCCATGGGAAGGCTGTTTGCCACAGCAGGGGGGTGGGATGCAGCAACTCACCCTTCAAGGTGTCCCTGAACATTGAGGAGACCCCCTCCTTAGAGCAAGGGGCGTAAACTGCTCGCAGTTACTGGAGAGGAACCCAAGGTAACCGTGAAAGAACACTTCCCAGCGGTAAATTACAAGATGTGGCGCACACATCACCCACCATCTCGATGTGGCTGAGAGTCGCCCGGATGGCAGAACCAGTCTCTGGTGACAGTCCCTGCAAAGTTGCTTTGCTAGCAAATGCCTCGGCCATCCTTGTGGTCATCGAAGGCCGAAAGCCACGGGGAGGAAGCAGGTGTAGACACCCGCCACCACGTTCAGGCTTGGGGGTAAACCGTTGAGTTTGACTACACTGAACCTGCGCTGAGCTCCTGGCCATCAGCCCTTGGTGACCCCCTTTTCGCACCTGCGGGCAGCGAGCCCTGCGCGGTCGCCAGGGCTGCAGACTCACCCTGCTCGAGGCCCCGCCCCCAAAGCGCGTCCCCACTCTTTGGATTGGGTCCTGCCAGCCAATCACAGCCCGCACAACCTATGATCTCACCGGCAGCCAATCAGAGCTAATCCAGGGAAGACGCGCTCGGGACCGTGGGCGCAGTTGTCGCAGTTGTCGCTCGTTCTGAAGCAACGGTATTCAGAATCAGCGCCATCCTTCAGGGCAGGGACACGGAAGCCCAGAGAGGGGCGAGACTTACCACGGGACACCCAGGTGGCAGAGTCCTAGGAACCAAGACTTCGGACTGTGGCCCTGTGTTCTTTCCACGGCCAAAGCCCCGCGGCTCAGATGGACCCCAGGACCGCGGCGCCCCCTTCCCACAGCTCTCCCTGCAAGACCTCAGGGGTCCGGACAGATCCGTCAGCCACCGGATTCCAGAGCCTACAAAAGTGGCAGAAGTGGCAGGACAAGGGGGGAGGAGGCGGGGGGGGGGGGGGGGTTGCCCCAAATCCCAGTCTGGGCTCAGCCCGGGAGGAAGGAATTAAAGGGACCCTGGCTGGGCTGCGCTGGCTGCTGCTTAAAAGCAGATTAGGAGGAGGGACCAACGCCAGGCTTCCTTTGTGGAGGGCCATGCGGGAGAATCCAGAAGTGTCAGCTCACACACGGGCAGTGCGGACCCCTAAGTATGTGTGTGGGGGTGTAGGCAGGTGTCGATTATTCCTCCAAGACACTTGTTCAGCACCTCTAATGGGGCTACAATAGGAGTGTCCATCCTAAGGAAGGACTAGGCAGTAAGCAAGCAGGAAGAACACTGTCCCGGCAGTGTCTTCTACAGGTTGCCGGGGCTCCATTACTCGACCATCCCTGCTGAGGGGTGCTGGTCTGGGCCCCGAGGCCAGCGTGGGGGACCAGGCTGCCCAGGGCCCTCATCAGTTCTTGCTCCAGGGTAGCTGAGGAAACTTGGGAGCTTATGGATCAGATGGACTCAGCCCAGAAGACCAAGTGCAATGTCCTAAAACGTGAGGGCATAGCAGTCAGGACCTTCCAGCACCAAAAGGGGATAGACCACACGATGCAGCCAGCCCGCTCTTGGGGATGGAGCCGAGGAATATGAAGCCATCAGCTCAGAAAAAGCTTACGTTCCACACTGCCTGTCATGGCTTTATTTGCAATAGCCAAGGTTTGGGGGAAAACTAAGAGCCCGCTGACAGCTTTGGATGGAGAAGAGGTGTCTGTCCACACCCCCATACTGTTCCACCATGTGGAGCTGCTGCCCCGACTGCAAAATGGAAGGAGCTTGAGGGAATGTTGGGCAGCGGAGCAAATGAGAAAGATAGTCAAGTAGCGGGCATTTTCAGGACTTACGAGTAATGGGCGTTACTTATCAAGGAGTCAACATGGATGAACTGATAAAGCAAACCAGTTATAAACCCGGCAGTGGTAACTCAAGTGAGGTTCCTGGGGTTAAGAGGGAGGAAGGCAGGAGAAAGGGTCACGGAGGAGGCTGTCCCTGGTGGCGCAGTGGGTTAAAGCACAGCACTGTGAGGCTGTCTGCAGCCCCTTCAACCCCAGTTCCATCCCCAGCCAGGGAGCTGACCCACATGATGCAGCAGACCACTCCTGACCCACCCACTGCTCCCCTCAGCAGTGTATTTCAGTCGGTCTCTCTGTTCTGTTCCCTACTCTATCTATGGTAAATCTCACCTCCAGCACCTCTGGCATGTACCTCATTTGTGTATGCATAAATAAATAAATCTTAAAAAAAAAAGGTAAAGGGGGTAGTTGGGGGGAGAAAAATATTATCAAATAAAATGAAAAGATGCGACGGCAAGGACCTGTTTGTACGGGCAGTCTCTGGTCTCGCTTCACGGCTGCCCCCTCCGTCCGGCAGTGGGGTTCCAGAAAGGAGAGCTGAGGCCCAGAGTATGAAATTCTTGGCTGAGGTCACTCCTAAGCCCCAGATAGGCTGGGACACTGCTCCCTCCAGACCCCCATCAATCTTTCTTTCTGCCTGTCCGTCCACAGGCCCCAAGCCCGCCTGCTGCAGCCCAGCGCCCGGCCATGACCGTCACCTATTCAAGCAAAGTGGCTAATGCCCGCCTCTGCTCCTTCTCCCGCCTGCTGCTGTGCTGGCGAGGCAGCATCTACAAGCTGCTCTATGGGGAGTTCCTCATCTTCCTGGCCGGTTACTACACCATCCGTTTCATTTATAGGTATAGGTGGATGAACTGGGCTGGGGCCTGTGCTGGGGCACAGAGCTTCGGGGGACTCTCCCAGCATCTAGGGGGTCAGTGTCTCAGAGGCCTATAAGGCTGAGCTTAGCTTGTGGCCATGCTGGGGTGAGGGAGAAGGGAAAAGGAGGCAGAATGGGAGGACAGTCATGGAGGGGTCTCAGGCACCCACTCCTTCCTCCAGGCCAGGAGGGGACCTGGAACCCAACCCTTCTCTGATCCCACTCAGTCAGCCTGTTTTCCTAAACCCCAAACATGCTCCCCAGCCCACAGCATATTCCTGTTATGGCAATTTCCCATAACAGGAATCAGACGGCTCTCAGAGAAGTGGAGAGAGAGATTTTACTTGTCACATCGGCGGGCTCAGTGAGATCAGTCCCAAAAGGCCCCATTGAGGATGTTTATTTAAACAATAAGATGTAATACAGGTATAATCATAGACTGTTTTAAGTGGAAGAAGCATTAATGACTGCAATGGATTGAGAAATGGCAAATACATACAACTCTGAAGTTCCCCATAACACTAATAACAAGGCTCAATGGATTTTTCCATTGAAAACACCGATATACTTTCTAAAGAAAATTAGGTTTTAGAGCAGTTTTAGACTCAGAGCAAAACTGAGCAGAAGGAAGAAAGAGTCTCATATCTGCCACCCACACCCACACACCCTCCCCCACCACCACCCCGCAGCAGAGAGATCCAATGGCAGAATCCACATGATGTACCATTATCACCCGAAGTTCATAACTGACATTAGGTTTCACTCTTGGCATTATGGGCTTGGGCAAATGGGCAATGACATGTGTCCACCATTACAGGTTGTCTAGAACATTCAGTGTCCCTCAACCCTTTGAGTACTGCCATGTCACCCCTCTCCACAATGGCCTTTTAAAAGACCAAACACCCCTTGTCCAATCTGCCCTGAAACAACCATCCTTCAGATCCGTGAGCAGGGCCTGTGAAGCCTCAAACTGAGTCCTCTAGGGGCACTGTCCTACTCCTCACAGAAAACCTGAGGAGGCCTCCTCCAGCCAAGGAAAGAGGCCCTGTGGGGCTCTGGGTAGCAGGAAGGGTGGGACCTGGCTCAGCACTGGGGAGGAGTCCAGCACAGCCTGGAAGATGTGGGGTGGCACAGAGGGACTACACTCCTGCGTCAGCCCCTCCCCCCAGCCCAGCCCAGCCGCAGCCCTCTGCTGCCTTCACCCCCCAAACCCCTCCAACCACCGTGGGTCCGTCCGTCCGCAGGAACATCCTTACAGAGAACCAGCAGGTGATATTTGAGAAGCTGAGTCTGTACTGCAACGGTTACATCCAGCTCATCCCCATTTCCTTCGTGCTGGGTGAGCTGCCCCTTCCTGCTGGGGTCCTGGGAGCTGCTCCCGGCTCCAGGCAGACAGACCACCAGGAGTTAGGTGGGGAAGGCCCATGCATCTTGGTAGTTGAAAGAAATGGGGAGACTGCAGCCAGAAAGACTTCAGTTAGACGCCAGGGAGGACATCCTGTTCCTAGCCCTCAGACCCACTTCGTGAAGACACCAGTTCGGTGGACTTCTGGGCTAGACAGCTCCCAGCCCGGGGGAGAGGTGGCGAGACAAGGCGTCGGAGTCCTGGGCTCTGACTCAGCCTGTGCCCTCTTGCTCAGGTTTCTATGTGACGCTGGTGGTGACGCGCTGGTGGAACCAGTACGAGAACATGCCGTGGCCCGACCACCTCATGAACCTGGTGTCGGGCATCGTGGAGGGCAAGGACGAGCAAGGCAGGCTGCTGCGGCGCACGCTCATGCGCTACGCCAACCTGGGCAGCGTTCTCATCCTGCGCAGCGTCAGCACCGCGGTCTACAAGCGCTTTCCCAGCTCCCAGCACCTGGTGATGGCAGGTGGGCGGGGCCAGGGCAGCGCGGTGGGCGGGGCCGGAGCTGAGGGGGTGGAGCCAGGAGTCCCTGAGCTGAGGTTTGGGTGGGATATGCGCGCGCACAAGCTGATGGAAACCTGAGGGCCGCAACTTGAATGGAGCAGAGTCTGGCGCCTGAAATGGGAGCAGGGAGAGGATAGGAGCCGGTCCTGGAGGCCAGGAGTTGCCGGAGAGGAGGCGGGTGGAATGAGAGTGGGGGTGGGAGTGGGGGAGACATGAGTGGAGCCTTGGGACCTGGTGAGGAAATAGGGCTTAACCCCCTCCCTGTCCCCCCTCCTGTTTTCCGGTTTCCAGTCTGTAAGACGTTCCATGGGCCTTGTCTAACTTGGTCTAGTAGCTACTCTGGAACTAACTGTTGAGCTCTGACGTTCCTGTGGGCCCAGCAGGGACCGGAGCCTGAAGCCTGTGTCCCCAGGCTGGCCACTCCATCTGCAGGTTCTCCCACCCACCCTTCTTCCCTCCACCCGCAGGCTTTATGACCCACGCTGAGTGCAAGCACTTGGAAAAGTTCAGCTTGCCACACAACATGTTCTGGGTGCCCTGGGTGTGGTTTGTCAACCTGTCGGTGAAGGCCTGGCTTGCAGGTCGAATCCGGGACCCCAACCTGCTCCAGTGCCTGCTAAATGTGAGCCCAAAACACAGATGGGAGTGCTGCAGTGTGGGGAGGGTTGTGGCCCAGCTGGAACAAGGTTTCCTGTAGAGAGAAGGCCTAAGCCCCTGAAGGTCTTCCCAGAGTCTGTAGGCACTTCAACAGCAGGATTCTAACAAGGAGGCCCTGAGCCAAATCCCCGCCCACCAAATCCCCGCCCACCACCTCTCTAAAATGAGCCTCTGAGATGCTGGTTCTTTTTTGGTAGCTGAGGAGGCTGAGCCATAGAGAGGTTAAGTGAGCTGCCCACACCACACAGCCACCAGGGCTGGCCGTGAGCACCAGACCCCGGTGCCTTGGGCAGAGCTGGGAGGTGAGTCTGGGAGTCCTGGCGGGGGTCAGAAAGCCAGCCCCGCCTTCGGCCCCCCAGGAGATGAACACCTTGCGCGCTCAGTGCGGACACCTGTATGCCTACGACTGGATCAGCATCCCGCTGGTGTACACACAGGTGAGCGCTCGGTGAAACGGCCCTTTGAGAAATACGGGAAGCAGCCTGTGGTGGGAGGGGCTCCCTTGGAGCCGAGGCCAGGCCAGCTCTGGGAGCTGGGCCTGGACTTGGCAGGCGCGCCCCAGCACCAAGTCCCCCAGCCCAGGCTCTGGGTCCAGCCCGGGTTCACCCCCGTTCCAGAGGCGACCTCAGCCCCAGCGCCAGCCAGCGAGGCCCTGCCCTCCCCTGCCAGCCCACACCTGCCTCCACCTTCTCCGCTGCAGGTGGTGACCGTGGCCGTGTACAGCTTCTTCCTGGCCTGCCTGGTGGGCCGGCAGTTCTTGAATCCAGAGAAGAACTACCCCGGCCACGAGATGGACCTCTTCATCCCTCTCTTCACGTTCCTGCAGTTCTTCTTCTATGCCGGCTGGCTGAAGGTGAGTCTCACAGCACCCGCGGCGAATGTGGGCCTGTGGGCATAGCCTGCAAGGTGGCAGCAGCTAGGACAGGACAGACTCAAATGTGGAAAGAGTGCTGCGTCCTGCCTCCGGCCTCTGGCCTAGCCCCTATCGTGGCCTTATATATGAAGAAACTTGGGCCCAGCGAGAAGCGGGGCCTGCTGGGGCCGGCGGGCTCCCAGCGCTTCACCCCAGGCAGAAACTGCCCAGGCTCAGTCGTCAGACTTTGGTGCCTCCCCGAGAGAACATTCTCCTAATGTTTGTCCAGAACAGGGGGCCTGAGTGTGGGCGGGCGGCCAGCCGGTGAGGCAGCTTCTCGGCCTCAGTAACGAGCGCCTCTCTGCTGTTTAGTACCACAAAGCCCGAGGTTACCAGGCCCCGTCCCCACCCATCTGGCACGACCTCTGCTTCCTCTGGAGGCGCATGCTCTCCCCACCCGGGGGCTTTCCGAGCACCCCTTCCCACCCGGCCCCTCCTCACAGTTCTGAATAAGTTCCCACCTCTCTGTATTTCCTTCCACACACACATACACACACACAGCCACCGCCCAGCCCACATCAAACCAGATCCCACCTTTCTGCTTGCAATTGTCCAGGGTGCCCCGGTGACTTGCAAAATGTCCCCTGAACTCGTAAAAAAGCTCATCGCCACGGAAGGGCTTTGTCAGGGGATCTCAGTGTCCAGAGCTCTCTCCACTTGGTCCACCCTTGCACTCAGCATAGCCTCAGTATCCCGCTCGGGTGCATCCGGAAATAACGCATAAGTGAATGTTTGAAGATGTGAGTAAAAAGATGAGTGTGCCTAGAATTACGTGGCTCCAGGGGAGACGCGTGTGGTGAGGTCAAGGGACACACTGCTGAGTGACACCCGGAGGCAGGTCTGGGCACTGGGCCAGAGGGGCCCGCTGGGCGTCCAGAAGGAGGGCTGCCCACGTGCTTGGTGTTCCGAGCCCTCGCACTGAGGCTGAGGCAGGAGGGGCTTGGAGACGCCCAGGTGAGGGATGGGAAGCTGCTAGGGTGTCCCGAGGGTCTCCAGGGCCCACCTGTCCCCAGGTGGCGGAGCAGCTCATCAACCCCTTTGGAGAGGATGACGATGACTTTGAGACCAACTGGATCATTGACAGGAGCTTGCAGGTACAGGGGGCGGGGGGTGGGCAGAGGGCGTCTGTCCTTTGGACCCTCCCTAAGCTGGACCCAGGGAGGGGGACCCCACGCAGTGCATTGCCTCCCCCCAGCCAACGCACCCATTTCTGAGGCTGGAAGTAGGCATCAGTTGCTCCATTTCATAAGTAGGGAAACGGAGGCCCGGAGAGAGGGAAGTGGCCTTCCAAATCCTCAGGCAGGTTCATGGGCCTGCCAGTTGGGCTTCTACTTCTGCCCCCGGTGACCAGGTGTCTCTCTTGGCTGTGGATGAGATGCACCAGGACCTGCCCCCCATGGAGCGGGATATATACTGGAATGAGCTGGAACCACACCCCCCCTACACAGCTGCTTCCGCCCAGTCTCGAAGACCCTCCTTTTTTGGCTCCACTTTCAATATCAGGTGGGCTGTGCCAAATTGGTACTTGGTGAGTGGAAAACCCCGCGTGCAAGGGCTGCTGAAGAACTCCGAGCAGCACTCATGACACTGCGGGCTGGCTACGTGCCAAGCACTGTACAAGAACTTTATATACAGTAGCTGGGCCCATGCTCGCAGTAACCCTATTTTGTTATGTCTAGTGTTCAGGTGACTAATTACAGGTCCGGGAAAGTGAAATAAGTCATCTAGCCAAGGTCACATAGCTAGCAAGGTGTGAACCTCCACACCCTAGACCCTTGCCTCACACCGCTCAAGGATGCCTAAATCTGTTCACCCAAACCTCCCAGGAATCCAGAATCCACCGTGTTTCCAGGGCTGGAAACTGAGTCCAGAAGAGAAGGGATGTAGTCAGGGCCAACATTGACCAACGATGTGCTGGGGTTGACCTGGCTCCTGCCCCTGGTCCAGAGCTGTTTTCTGATAAACCTGGGTGTTTGGATGGGTAGTGGAAGAGGGGGTCCCTGAGGTGGCGGGGGGCAGCAGGCATGCCCCCATCAGGCCGGTCATCATGGGTACCTTCTGAGTGGACTTTGTGCTACAGAAAGTTTTTGGTCACCACAGCAGCCAAACTTACACAGATGTGGATTCCCAACTTTGGCCAGACCCCCTTTGAGCTGTGGCCTGGAACATAGTGGGCAGCAGGGCTGTCCCAGATGCCCTCTTCTCCCCCCAGGGTGGGCCGGTGGAGAGGACTTGGGAGGAGGTTTGCTGTGTGTCCAGGGTCACGCCGTCCAGTATTCTTCTGCACTATCAAGCACTGTTTCCTCTCAATTGCTCACAAAGCTGTCTATTAGCTATAGTTAGAGCCAGCTAGGATTTCTTGCTGGTGTGTGAACCTTTGCAAAAGTGAGTAAATGAAGGATAGAGGCTTGCTCAGGTCAGAAACTTCTGGAGGTGCCTTTGGGATCTGCCCGGTCCCCAAAGATCACGTAGAGCTGGCTCCAGGCAGCTGAAGGGCCCGTGGGGGTGTGGACACGGAAGAGAGTAATGCACAGGCCTTGCTTCCAAGGAGAGTTTAGGGAGGGAGCCCAGGGCCAAGGCCCACACAAACTCTGGCACAGAGTACTGGACGCCCAGGAATGGGCCTCTCTCACAGCAGAGGTCCCCTTGGTGGCCTGGAGGTGGCCGTTAAACATGGGAGAGCCTGGACATGGGCAAGGTGTGAGGTTCTGGGGTAGGTGGGCTTTTCTCTTCTCGTGGATGCTGCTCCTAGTGGGGGCCACACACCCTTGACGTACTCCATCATTTCCCGGGAGTTCAGATTGCTGGGAGTGGGGGAGTTAAAGGTGTGGGTGCTGGAGAGGGGGTCCTAAAATGCCAGGCTAGGGAGTTTGCACGTTCATGTGATCAAGGAGGAGGCACAGAACAGTGAGGTGAGCTGAGCCCCAGGAAGGGTTCATCAGGAGGAACAAGGTGAGTCCAGTGAGGTCAGTGAGTCCGAGGAAGACAGTGTGTTCTTGGCCTTGGACCAGAGGGAGGTGAGGGAGAAGTCAAGCCGGGCCTTTTTCCGCTGCCCCACTCTGAGTGGCCCACTTCTTTCCAGTATGCACAAGAGAGACATGGAGTATCAGCCAGAACAGGAGAACCCTCACACCAGCATCGTTGGCCGCTTCCTGGGGTTGCACCACCACAACTACCACTCCTCCAAATACCACCCCCCCAGGACAAACTCCAAGACCACACTCCTTGGGCTCAAGAAAGGAGTCCTCCATGAGGGCCAGCACTCCCACCCCCCAAAGGCTGGACAGAGTGCTCGGGGCCAGGGCAACAGCCAGGCTTGGAAGGTGAAGGGACAGGATGACTTCCAGTCTCCTATGCTGTGTAAGTCAAGGTACCCCAGCACCCGGCAGACACCCCTTGACCCCAGCCCTCTGGTCTTCCCACCTGAGTCAGTGCCCCCAAGGCTTCATGGGGTGCCAGGCGTAGGGAGCACTGTCCCAGGCCAGACCCGACAGCCTCTGGCTATGGGGAGCAACAAGTTTGAAACTGCTTCCAGAGAATGCTGGGGTCTCCACAGGGAACCCAGGACTGTATTCCCATGAAGAGAAAACTGTGGAGTTTAACTTGACCGACACGTCAGAGGCACCTGAAGTTCATGCCAGAGATCCACATTCGGAACAGGCTCCAAGCAACACACACACTGTACGCGAAGGGCCTGGAGAGCCCCCTTGGACCGTGCAAACCAGGTCTGTTCTCTACCCTCACGGGGACCATTACACCTCCCCTGGAGGCGGCCTCCCCCAGCTTCCCTGTATGCGAGCCTGCTTCCGTTTCCCGCGGCTGTCACTGACAGAGCAGGGTGTGTGTGTACCACACGCTTGGGGTACACACCCGGCAGGGGCCCTGGAGAGGAAATGGGCCCCAGGCTCATTGCACTGACAAACTGCCATCACCTGGAAGGGCTCCGAGGACCCAGTGAAGGAAGCTGAAGTTGCACCAAAGGGATGATGCTGGGAGGGCAGCCAGGCTGGACCTAACTGGGGTGTCATCACTGGGTGCAGCTCACTTTGAGCAGGGCCAGAAGACCCTGGCACAGAGGTGGGGGTGTAGGCTGTAGCCCAACTCAACTAGCTCCCACTTGGCTTGGTGATCTGCGCACTCTTAACCACCCAGGGCTGCAGGCTTGGGCACTGGACGAGGGTGCCTCCACCCTGGACACCTGATGAGTCAGCCAGGGCCCTTGGGGGAGGGGGATCTTACTGCTTTGGGGGCCCCCTCCAAAATTCTAAACTTGTGTTCTTCATGCTTCCTTAGGGGCATCCCCCAAACTGTGGCAAACCCACAAGTTTCCCTTTCTTCCAGCTCTGGACACCCACCCAGTTGTCTACCCTACCCTACCCCACCCGTCATGAGCAGGGTGCTAGGGAATGTCAGCCTATTTCTAGATTCTCAGCACTGTTGCAGCCAGAAGACACAGCCCTGTGATTCAGCACTAAAAGGTTCCGACCAGTCTCGGCAAGACCCAGCCACCTCAAAGCTTGTCTAAGAAATGTTAGCACAGCCAGCGGCCCGTGTCTGCTCACGGCCTCCCTGGTTTTTAATATTCCACGTGTGGTGCCGTCCTACCGCTAGAATTTTCGTGCCGAGATGCCATGTCCTACACGCTCACTGTAAACTTTTCTCAAACCCTCAACAGAGATGATACAGAGTCCTAGCCTGTCAGGCAGGGGGACACTTCACCACCCAGCTCTTCCTGCACCATGGACACCAGCGGGATGCTGTGAGTCATGACCTAGAGCTGTGTCCACTGAAGACTGACAGCATGAATGAAATGGTCAGCTGAATGGACGTCAGTACTTACAGGACTACTGAAGTCCTTAAAACGCCTGTTGTACATAGAAACTGTGAAACCAGCAAGGAGTCACCGAGACATGCTCAGAACCCCTAAACCAGATTCGGATGTCCGTCAGGCCTTGGTATCTTCTCCAAACTAAGGAATTTATTAATAAATATGGACCATCCTCGGTTTTTCACTTTGACTAGTTTCGTTTAACTGTGGAACCTAAAAATTTCACAGAAAGATGGCAGAGATATTTCTACCAAGACTCCGAAAGCCAATGGGTACCAAATTACTTTATTTGAAAGAATGGTACAAACGAAAGATTTAAGTAGATGTTTTGGTACAACTTATAGAAAAGGTAAAGGTAACCCCAACATGCATGCACAGCACTGGTGACCAGAAAAGCCACCCCTGGCTATGAGAAGCCAAAGGCTCAGCTTAGCTCTTGTCACATTCTCCCAGGGTGTGCTTGTCAAAGAGATACTCGGCCATGCCGGATTCGGGGGCCCCCATCTTGCGCAAGTTGGTTACATGGTCACCCAATTCTTTGATGGATTTCACCTGCTCATCCAGATAATTAGTCTCCAGGAAGTCACACAACTAGAAAACAGAAAGGGGAAGAAAGTTATACCCTATCCTGGCCCCTGAAGCAACGCTCTACCTCGCTCCGCGCTTCCCATACTCACATGGGGGTCGTTTTTGTCAGTGGCCAGTTTGTGCAGCTCCAGTAGTGACTGATTCACACTCTTTTCCAAGTGTAAGGCGCACTCCATTGCATTCAGCCCGTTCTCCCAGTCATCACGGTCAGGTTTCTGCACGAGAGGTGAGCAATGCCTCTGCAGTCTGCCAATTAACCCGCGGCCACCAGCGAGCTCCCACTAAGTAACCACTGTGCTTCTGCAAAGGGACACCCCGTTTCCCGTTTCGGATGTAACACCCTTGCCCACCGTTTGCCTATTTTAGCCTAGACGGCTGGCCTAAAAAAGCACACAAGGCAAAACCTGGACATAGCCTCATTTTATAAGGGCATCCACTAGTGGGAGTGACCTTGGGTTCCTGAGAACGGGTGACTAGATCACCAAACATGACAGCTCCGGAATCTTTAGTTCACCTTGATGTCCTGAAGGAAGATGCGGCCGCCTCGCTGGTTCTGCAGCTTCATCAGTTTCTCAGCATGCTCCCTCTCCTCATGAGATTGGTGAAGAAAGTATTTGGCAAAGTTCTTCAAAGCCACATCATCACGGTCAAAGTAGTAAGACTGAAAGTGAAGCGCGAACATGTCATGTCAAGGACCCCCACGGCAGGCAGTCTGCTAGCCCTGTCTTCCTTTCTCAAAGGAGGGAGGATCAGTGTCTAAGGAGCTAGGGGGCACAGTGTTTCTGGAACGAACCAACAGTAATTAGTCACGACGCTAAAATACAAACTAAAACTTGGGCCTTGCCTCTGCACAGAATGTCTTGTGGCCCTGTACCGGCGCAGAGGGAAAGTACTTATGGCCAGTGCCAAATCTGATATTAAAGAGGTTGCTGGAATATCTCCCCCTTCCTTCCAGAGGAACCTGCGTTAAAAAAAAAATGCACTGGAAAGAGCAAATGGGCTTGCCAGTTTCCAGCAGATGGCTGGATTTCCTAAATTAACGCACAAGGCAAGGCGACAAGTGCCAGCAACGCTGAACAATGTAAACATTTCCAGTAGAAAACAAACATCTGACCACGTTTTAGATGCTGATGCATGCAGAAGTTCCAGAGGCTGGAATGGCAGCCATGGATATTCCGGACTGTGAGGATTCATCGGGAACACCTCTAGGATAATGGGTTCAATCACGAAACTGAAACTCTCACTACACCTCTTAAACCGACTCAACTGATAACCTGCATGGGAAAATTCTTTGCTCAGTCGACTTTTCCCAACAACTAAGGATTCAATTAAAAGGCCCACAGCCCTTAGGAGTAGACACAAAACATAAATATTCGGGGGGGGGGGCAAAGACTTTAAGAGGACTCTGGGATGGCAGAAGGGGAAGATTTCTAGATAGTCTTCAAGTGGGCTTGAAAGAGATAAGCAAAAACGAGGGTGGAGTAGTCAGCCACCCCGGAGTGGTCGGCCCCAGACAGATAAGCCACTGGGCACCATCCCCCAAGGTCGCTCGCTATTCGACACCATTACCCAGCAGGCTCTGCACACTTAGGGGGTTGGGAGTTGGACTTCATGACCCCCCCAGTCCTCCGGCAAACGGAGGGCCTCGGGTCACGTGGTCGGACGCAGAGGCGCGATGGAGGCGCTGAGGTCCACCGTCCTAACTGCAGGATTGTCCAGGTTCCAAGAGCTGCCTCCGCGGGGTTTCGGGAGGCCAGGGCCTCGCTTCAAAAACAGGCGTGCGGAGAGGCAGCCCTCGCCTAGGAGGCGGCCCCCCAGGGGGCAATCGCACAGGGCGATCTGCCCAGGATTACTGCGCCAGAAAAGTCCTGGGAGACCTCAAGCCGCCTCCATTTTCCAGAAGGGCGCACGGAGGCGGGAGAGCGGCGGGTAGCCACGCCCCCGCCCCGCCCCGCCCCGCGCCCGGGGAGGCGCCGCGCCCCGCGGCCCCCGCCCCCCGCGGCCCCAACGGCGCTCACCATGGACAGGTAGACGTAGGAGGCGTAGAGTTCCAGATTGATCTGGCGGTTGATGGCGGCCTCCGAGTCCTGGTGGTAGTTCTGGCGCACCTGCGAGGGGGATGCGGTCGTCATGGCGGCGGTTGAGGAGAGGAGGCGGCGGCGGCGGCGGCGGCGGCGGCGGCGGCGGCGAGGGCCTGGCGGCGATCTGACGGCGCTGTGAGCTGAGGCAGCGGGCTGGGCCTGAGGGGTCGGCCGGAGTGGGGGGGACGAGCGCCGGGTTCCGTCCAAACACTGTTGAAGCAGGAAACCGCGGCGACTCTCCGCGAAGACTGTGGCGCAGGCGAACGCGCGCCGGCTCTTATAGCGGGAGCCGGCGTCAGGCCCGCCCCGGCCAATCACGTCGCCGGTGCGGTCGTCGGCCACACCCCTTCCGGCGAGCGCGTGGCCCCGCCCCTCTGAGTGGGGGGGTGACTGGGAGGAGGGGGTAGGAGGGAGCAAGCGGGGAGGGTGGGTGGAACAAGGACGGTCCTGGGCACCCTATTGCTCGTCAGCCCAGCGTGGGTTTGTAGCAGGCCGAGTGTCCCCTAATAGTTGGAGGCGTCTCCGCTTTCTGTCGCCTTTGGTGGGATTGGAGGGAGGACCTGGGGAGGTATGGGAAGCCCCATTCGGAGCCCCAATTCCTGTGGCGTCCTGCAGAGATGTAGAGGTGATTTTGAGAATCCCAACGGACACCCCGAGGTTCTTGGCTGAGGGCACTTTAAAAATCAGAGCTTTAAAAATTACCTCACCCCGAGGTGATTGCCACACCCTGAGGTACAAACAGGGCAATGAAGTTGGAAACGTGGGCCCTGGGAGACCGAATGAGTCAGAGGTCCGCTGGGAAAGGGCTCAATTCCCCTTCGTCAAGTGGGGACAAAATGGAGGCGGAGTGGGCAGTCTGGAGTCGGACCCCGTCAGCTTCCTGCTGAAAGCAAATATGGCGCTCACCTCGTGCAGTTGCCACGACATGGGCTGGGCGAGCGTGATCCCTGTAGATTCAGACTACCGTCCCCTCCAGGAGTCGCCTTTGGTGGGATGGGTGGGAGGACTCGGGAGGTTTGGGAAACACCTTTCAGAGCCCGGGGTAAGCCACCGGGCTTCTAAGAAAATCTAAGCTGGCAGGTGGCGAGTAAAACCCAAAGTGTGATGGAGTGGTTAGAAAAGGAGAAGCAACTTGGATCTGGATGCGGTGATGTGAAGTCATTTTGAAATGGTTGGTCTCATCTGCCCATTTCAGGCGCCTCAGAAAGTGGAGAACCTCCATGTAGGGAGGCGCCTTTGGCAGGTCCCTGGGCAGAAGCTGATGGGCTGCCTGCAGGGCAGGCTTTAGGGCCTTGGAAGGGCAGGACCCCTGTGCGTGGCCTGTAGTTGTGTCCCAGGTACCACGTAGGGGAGAGTTTGTGGGCAGCAGAACAGGGGCTAGGCCAGAGCCCTCGTTCTCTTGCTTGCTGGCTTCCAGGTTCACTGCTCTTAGCCAGGTCCTCTCTCACCTAGGTGAGACCTATGTTGGATGTTCACAACCTTAGAAATGATAGGAAGTCTGCTAAAACGTTAATGTTAGTTGTCATGGACTTATGGTGAGTTCTCTTTCTTGAATCGTCCCATACTTATTACTAAAGGAGCATACATTACTTTCAAGAAAGAAAAGGAGGGACCTGGGGCTACAATAAAGTAAGCGGAGTGATTCCAGAGAGTACATTCAAGGGTGCCTTACCCAGCCTGGGGCAGGAAGTCAGGGGAGACTTCCCTTGGAAAGTGACTTGAGCTAAATTTGAAGAAAACGTTAAGGGGAAGTTGAAGGGGATGAGGGGGTTGGGGGATGGGACTCCAAGCAGGGGGAACCAGCCTATGAAAGGTGCACTGGTGTGGAGACACCTTGAGAATGTGTTTGAGCCTGGAAAGTAGGTTCTACTGTGGAGAGCACTGGATGGTAGAAAAGGAAAAAGGCCAGGAAAGGCCCTAAGGGGGGGGGGGGGTTCAGTTTTGTCCTGGATGACATGGAGATGCTAAGGTATTTCTAGCCAGGGAGGTACCATTTTAGTTTTGTTTTTAGAAACCTTAACACTGAATCAACAGAAGAACTATTAGGAGAACATTACCACAAAGCCACCGGATGCAAAGCTTTCCTTAAAACAGTAATTTGGTAGAAAATGGAACGAAAGAAAAGGCGGTTTTTATTTATATTGACAACAAAAGCTTCAAGTCCCTGAAGAAACTGTAGAAATTGTTATACTGCAGGACAGGAAAGAAAGCTTGCATAAAGGAAGAAACACCATTTCTAGATGGCCAGCCTCAGTTTTCTCAAGATCTCAGTGGTCCCCAGGTAAACCTAGGTTCAATGCAGTTTCTGTAGAACTTACATTTTGGGGGGTGGGGAGCTTGACAATGATTCTAATGTTCTTTTGGAATCATAAGCATGTAGAGTAGCTTATAAATATTGGCGGGGGTAAGGATTATAAAAGTAGATTTGCCCTCCTTGATATAAAAAAAAAGTTACTATAAAATACCAAAAGCATTTGTCACTGGTAGTGCAACAGGTAGCCCTACCTACCTGTATCAGGGAGCTTAGTAGATATTAATGTGGCATTACAAATTAGAAAGAATGGGCTCAACAAATGACGTCAATACAATGGGTAGTCATGGATAGAAATTAGTCTCCCTATGGAAGAGTTCCAGGAGGATTGGAAACCTGAGCTTTAATACAGGGGTAGGGAGCAGAGGGAGGGGAGGATGGGAGAGGAAGGTGAGATTCTGAGACATGCAGAGATACAGGTAGAGCCAGACCCCAGAAGGGACTGCAAAGAGAGGGTCAGAAAAAGCGGGAGCAGGGAGTTGGATGGAGTAAGGAGACTGAGGAGGGCGGGAGGGAGGCAGAGAAAAATGGGAGGAAAGAGCCCTTGCAGTTTCTCAGCTGATTATAATGCAGCAGAGTGAAAACTGCCCTATTGTAACTGGTCGCTGGGGCACAGCCCTGGAGCCTGAAGCTGATGGGGTGTGATTGCTGTCTAGTTTTGTATATATTTAGTAAGTGAAGTTCACTGCCAGTTCAAGATGGTGGCAGCTGCTTTTTGTAATGCCAGCATGCTTCAGTGGGGAGATGCCCAGAGCCTGTGGAGGAAGCCAGTGTGCAGAGGGGAGCCAGCCAGGAAGCCAGACTGGGAGGTGGAGAAAACCAGACCCGGGCAGGGAGGGTGGAGAAGGGGAGAGTAGGGGTGAGCCGTGGCTGCTCCCAGCGGAGGACTGAAGCCCCAAAGCAGGGCCTGGGTAGGCCTATGGAGGTACTGAGGAACGTAAAGCTTCTCTTTTAGGATCAGTATGGGAAGTGTCTTCTGAGGCTCTCAAAAGCCAAAAAAAGGCTGACTACTTAAAAAGGAACAACTGAGCCAACCGGGAAGGGCGCATTTAGTCATAAAGACCAGCCGCCACACCGTCACCCGTGTTCACAATTATAGAGCCGCACAGCATGTTGGGTTTAGTGGCCCTTTTGCAGGCCCTATGCTGTCTCCCATAAGCTTCTAGACGGCCGGCATTTTGCAGGGTGCGGTGGAGAGGGCTGCCCTTCAGAGGAGGCAGTGCCCCTCACCCTCCCAGAGCAGAGGAGACAAAGCGGACCTGAGAGGGAAGACAGAACAGACCTGACGAAGAGGCCGATTGTGTGTGTGGGCGCAGATCGGCTGTGTGCACCATGGGCTGTGGCTCTGGCTTCCTGCTCTGGGCAGCTGGGGGGCAACTGCCACTCCCTGAGAACAGGCCCAGAAGGAGAAGTGTGGTTTGTGGGGGGAGGCCTTGGAGAAGCCCAGCTGGCTTTGGACGGATGGGCTGATTTTCAGGGTCTCTAGGGCGCCCAGATGGGCAGAACCAGCGTGAAGTTGGACGCACCAGAAGGAGGTTGGTCTGTTGCCGAAAGTCAGTTTCATGAATCAATATTGGCCCCGTTCTTGTCAAACACAAGCAGCCATGGTGACCGTGGAGGCCAAACTATGGGGCAGTGTGTGCTGTAGCCGGTCAGGGGGAGCCCCACTGGGAAGATTGAAACATAAAGCTCGTGTCAGTGTGTGTTTACTTGGGCCATTTCCTCACCTTCTAGGACCTTGGGGTATCAGAACTGCCATCTCTATGCTTCTAGATTCTTCTGAAGCCTTGGGCTGCTCTTTGGACCTTTGTGGACTAGCACTGGGCTTCCCTCCCCTTCGGCTCTGCCTCGTGACTTCCAGGAGGCGGGAGTTTGGCAAGCCTCCCAGGCCAGGAGTATGGGAGGGGCCCCAGGCCAGAGAAGAGCCTCAGGGCCCTATCTGGAGGATCTGGAGGAGGTGGGGTTGTGGTGGAGAATTGCTGCCCCACCGTGACTCAGCACTCTGCTGGCCCTGGGGGTGGGCTAGGGCTCGAAAAGTGCTTTGTCATCCTGGGCAAGGGAAGGCTGCGAGCCGCTAGGGCTGTGGCTTCCCCGTGGAGGGCAGGGAGGAGAGGGCCCAGTTTCCTAGCATGGCTGGCTGCCTGCCCAGGCTGGACCGGGAATAAAGGGGCTAGATCGTCCAGCGGGCTGCAGAGGAGCTCGCTGGAAAGGCAAAACGCCCCCTACCGAGTTCTTGCTCAGTGCCTTCTGTCTCCCAGGGGACATGGCAGATGTTCGGTCTTTATTTCTAGAGACTGCTGTTGTGGGGGCCATCAGGGTTCCAAGCTAGGCCTCTTAAACACTGGAAGCCTTGCCCAGGAGTTTCCAGATCTCTGTGCGTTGTTTCCGACACGGTGAGGCCTGGAAAAGGCAAGGGCTTGCCCACAGCCCAGGCCTGGCCATATGGTTGCCAGCAGAAACACATAAGCCAAGGCAGGAGATGGTGGTGAGAAACAAGCTGGTGGCCCGAAGGTGTATATGGAGCGATGGTGGGGGAAAGCGGGCCGCCGAACGCTTCAGGCAGAGCTGCAGACCGGGGGAGACGTCACGGGCCTGCACCCCTAGATGAGGTTCAGGAGGAAGGGGTTGAGCAATGTCTGCACCGGAGGCTGATGTTTTAACGCTTGGGGTTCCCCCGAAGTGGAGTAAAGTGAAGGATATAGGAAGTTGGAATTTGAAAATTTAGAAATGGGGGGTGGGGCAATGAATCTGATTTGGGGACATTTCTGGATGATGCAACTGTGATTCACAGAGCTCGTTCTCAAGTGATTTCCTGAATGCCCGCGAGGCAATCTAGACTCAAAGTATGGGTCCTTCATCAGGAGGTTGAGATGTCGGGCATTCTGCCTGCCCTGAATGTGGGCGCTAGGGGTGGGGAGTGGAAGGCCCACATCTTCCACGCAACTCAGGCCTGACTGCCCGGTGGGACTCCTGCCGGGGGAGGGCCCCCCCCCCCCCCCCGGCACGCTGTGCTCCCGAGACCTTATCCCCCGGTTCTGGCTGTTTTTTTCCCACTGGACTTTGAGGGTGTTCTGCTGTCCCGGGGGACACTTGGACCGCCTGTGTGGCCAGAGGCCTGCCCCGCTGGGCCTCCTCCACCGCTGTCCCCACGGCCCACCGCGGGTCCCTCTGCCCAGCTGCCCTTCCCTGACTTTTCTACCTGAAAACTGACCCCGCCTTCAGCACCCAGCTCACCCTCGTCCTGAGCGTTTCCGTCCTCTGCCTGCCCGAGCGCTGAGCCCTTGTCCCGGTCACCCCACCTGGTGGCCAGGGCGCTGCCCCCTCCCTGCCCCGCTCACCATGGCGTGCTCCTCCATTGCCCACCTCTGCACCCAGCAAGGCGCCAGGTGTGGGTGGCACTGAGAACCCCATGTTGGAGCTCATTGAAGAGCCCGGCTCACCTTTCCTGTGATGGAAGGACAGGTTGCCACCACCTCTTGCCTCCTAAGTGCTTTTTTCTGCTTTCCACTGCCCACCTGGGTTTGTGGATTACTCCCCAGCGGAGCCCTGGGAACACGGCTGGGCAGGGGCGTCTGAGCGCTTGGGCTAAGGGCTAGGGAGATTGGTGCAGTTTGTGGGAGGTCTCCTCCCCCACGGGGTTGTCGACGGTGCCCTGTGCTTCCTGGGAAGGGACGGGCACGTGCCTGGAGTCGTGCCATCCAGACAGAGGTGCCAGAGAGTTCACACCAAGCAAGCTGACCTGACTGTGGCTGAAACTGACAACTCCTCTGAGGAGGAGGGAGGGCAGGTCTCCCCTTGGCAGAAGAGGTGACTAAGGTCCGAGCAGCCCCGTGGCTGCCTTGCCTAACGGCACACCCTGGTCACAGATGAGATGGTGACTGCTACATGAGCCTGGCTGTGGAGCAATTCTTGAAATCTGGGGCCTGACGCATCCACTGGCATTTTGAAAATCAGCTTAGCTGACAGCATGAGACCTGGCCACATGGGTGGAGGAAGATCCGTGAGAGGCCACTTGGTTGCGTTCTGAAATAGCCGCGTCAGTGGAGGGCCGTCCGGCAGCCACACCCAGGCAAAGGCCGGTCGGCACCTGCCTTTGGCTTCCTGGCCATGACAGGTGATTTTCAGATTTGATTTGGCCAGCAGCTGGAGTCTGTCTGCTTGCTGGCGGGTTCAGGGTTCCTTAGAAGGCACTGCTGGGGATCCCGTGGCGAGGACTTGGCCTTGAGTTATCTCACTGAGCAGGACAGTGAGGTCCAGGCCTTGTCCTGAGACCTGATGGTATTCTAGAACATGCTATTGAAAGAAGCAAGGCTGGCTCTTCGGACTCGTGGTGTTCCCCTCGGCTTGCAGGAGTCCACGGCCAGCGTGGACACATCGGCTGGGGCGGAGTAAGGCCTCCTGCATTTTCTTAGGAGCCCTGAATGGGAACCTCTAGAGTTGTCTTAAACCCACTCAGCCTGGTTGGCCTCAGGGAAGGGGTCCTCAGGCCACGCTCCATGCAGTGGGGTTACACTCAATCCCCTTTCTGGAGCAGAACCAATAATGATGAAAATTACCGCTAATAATAACAACAGGCAGCCCTTAATGATGAAAGTGAATACTTTTGAGACCTTAACTGTTGTGCCAATCAGGCCTTTCTCTAGATGAGGAAACTGAGGCACAAGGTTCCAAAATACCTTGTCCAGAGATACGCACGGTTTCACTCCGGTATCCGTGCCAGAACGGCTGCTTGTCCCCTGCCCCCTGCCCCCTGCTCCTGCCTGTCCTTGGCCGTCACTCCACTCACTTTACCGAGGACCCAGCATGCTCGTCTGCCCGGGGGTTTGGTAAAGGCTTACAGCGTGGGCGAGTGAAGTTTGGAATTCTCTCTACAAGGTTTTCCCTAGAAGGTCAGGAAAGGGCATGAGAGGTAGCACCAAAAAGCTAGCTGTGGCTGCAGACACTCCCACCCAGGCCCAGCTTCCTGGATTCTCCCTTTACTCTGCCACACCTAGACAGGACGTTTCTGAAAAGTCCCAGGGTTTCCAGCTGGCCCTCGGCATTGCTAGGATGCGATCCCAGGCACCCAGGCACCCAGGCACGGCGCTGGGGCGCTTGGCCAGCCCTGTGAAGAGACTCGAGGCAGGGCGCTGTGGAGCGCCGTGGCTTCTGACTGTGCCCTGATGGGTGGTTGTGAGAGAGCGGGGCGGTCTCCCTCACTCAGGATGGTTTGGCTTCATGAAACAAAGCCCAGCCCACAGGAGCTTAGCAGTAATGGGGACTTACTGGCTCGTGTAACTGAAAATTCAAGAGAGGGTGGGCTTCAGGCATGGCTCCATCAGGGTTCTGGCCCCATTTCTCAGTGGCTCCCTTTCAGATCTTCTCCCACCCAGTGGTCCTCACCGTGAGGCTGTCTCACAGCCGCATCCGGTAGGCCTCCTCCTTCCTCTGGGGTAATGCTAGATGCGGCCCACGTCACCATAAAAAGTTCCTGACCTCTGTGTGACCAGGACTCATTAAGCCAGTATTCCCTCTCAGAGCGTCTGATTCTAACCAAGAAGATGGAGTTAATAAGTGGCATTTGACCCTCAGGCACTGGTGTCTCTGGGCATCAACGCCAATATGGGTGCTTGCATTGCTTTTCTGTGGACTGACCCAGGAATGTTCCTTCGGCTGGGAGAGCTGAGGGGATTCTCCGACTCGCTGGAGAGCCCAGTAAACCCGGCTCCTTTGGGAAATGTTCAAGGTGCTTTTTGATTGTACACAAAGCTCCCAGCCAGGTTCTGAAGGGCCAGTGCTTCTGAGCTCCCCGTTCGGCAATGATCGTGGAGGTATCTGGAGGTACAGAGTTGACAGGGCAGGCCTCTCTTCAGCAGGGCGGTGAGACCCTCCTTCCTGGTTTTGCCCATCAGAGGCTGAGGGGCTGGGGCTGGGGCAGCAGGCAGGATCCCTTTTGAAGCTCAGGCCTCCAGGCCTCTTTTAGGACTGACCGGGATCAGCAGCCCCAGGTTAGGGACAGCACAAGGACCACTTAATTGTTCTTTATTGTGATTAAAACGCACCACATTACAGATTGTGTGCACATCGTTGTACCAGGAATCTCAACAACCTTTCATCTTGTAGGACTGAAGCGTTCTACCCTTGAACAACTCCTGTTCCCCCACCCCACCCCAGCCCCTGGCAACCACGACTTCTGCTTTCTATTTTTAAGAACTTGACTACTTTTTTTTTTTTTTAAAGATTTATTTATTCGTATAGAACTGGGGTACAGGCCAGAGATGCGGAGGGTGAGAGGTTTCACCAGAGACAGAATGGGGAGCAGAGCAGGCAGATCGACAAAGTACACTGCTGAGGGGAGCAGCGGGCGGGTCAGGAGAGGTCTGCAGCGCCCTGTGGACTCCTCCGGGGCAGGCGGGAATCGAACTCATGCGGAAGTGGCTTAAGCTTCTCAGTGCTGTGCTTTAACCCGCTGCGCCACCAGGGAGGGCCCAGAACTTGACTACTTTAGAGAGCTCACATAAATGGAATCATGCAGTATTTGGCTTTTATGTGATTGGTTCCTTTGAGCTGGCATGCTCTCCAGGTTCATCCATGTAGTAGCATATGGCAGGATTCCTTCTTTTTAAAGGCTGAGTAGTATTCCACTGTATATTTAGGCCACATTTTCTTGATCCATTCCTCGGCTGATGGACAGTTAGATGTTACTGCCTTATAGCTATTGTGAATAGTGCTGCGGCGAACATGGGTGTGCACGTACCTCATTGAGATCTGGTTTTCCATTCTTTTGGCTATGAACCCAGCAGTGAGATAGCTGGATCACGTGGAAGTTCTATTTTTAGTGTTGTGAGGAACTTCCAGGTGTCTGTGCTGGTCAACAATGCTAGACTTTTACAGAGAACATGGATGGGATTACTTATTAGCACTGATTGATCTGCTCGTTTATTAGGATTTGCAAATGCTGACTTTCCAGTCATAGTGCCTTCTTTGGTCAATGCGTAGGCTCTTTGTATGCAAAGGTATTTCTCCCTTCTCAACTATTTGGTTACCCTCAGGTAGAATTCCTAAGATAAAAGATTCCCTGCCCTCACCTTTATTCACTGGTTTTCCCAGTAATAAGTCATTCTCTAGTATCCACCACAGGTGATTGGTGAAGTTTTTGAAATCACCGTGAACTCATGCAGGTTCAGTGAACTGAAGCTATTATTCGTATTGATTTTCAACTAATCTCAGTTTTGGCCCAGCAGTAACCTGTCCTCTTATCCCGAAGTCCTATGGACAAAGTCTTCGTGTCCAAGGTCCTTTTAAGCTCTTTGCTGGCATGACAAACGATGCCAAGTGTGTGTTTGTACTTTTGTACCCTGGGTTTTGCAGTCAGTCACTTCTCCACCATCTGGGTATAGAAATGCTCTGTGTCTGTGCTGGTCAGTAATGCTAAACTTTTTCAAAGAGATAGAGATAGGATTTATTTTCTTTTCATTTTAAGAAGAAATACCGGTTCATGATACTTTTGATTCAAATTCAGAATTCTAGGGTTTTTGCTTACTCTTGGAGTTTTACACCTTGACTGCCTGTCTCCCATGCTTCAAACCTCAGTTCTCACGTCACATTTTCTCCACCACATCCACAACAGTCTTAGAGTCGTAACCCCAACGTTACCACCAAAAACTCATTTTTGAAAACAGCTAAATATATTGTTTCTTGTGGTTTTCTTCTTAGAGTAAATCCAAATAGGAATATATAGCCCAATCACTGTATGTTTACAATAGCCAAACTATGGAAAAAGCCTAATTGCCCAGTGACAGATGAGTGGATTAGGAAGATGCGATCTATAGACACACAGTGGAATACTACTCAGCTCTAAAAAAGACAATCTTGCCACTAGTGATGATGTGGATGGAACTCAGGGGCAGAGGGTTATGATAAGCAAAATAACTCAAAACAAGAAAGAAAAAAATACCAGGTGATTTCACTCATGTGGAAAGGAGCAGACGAAAAACAAAGCCAAATAAATTCTAGAAATCTAACTGTAGAATGAAGCTACCAGATGGGGAGAGATGGGAAGAGTGGGAGGGTGGTAGCCGCGGCAGGGGGAGGGTCCTGTGGACAAAGTCGGGGAGGGGGTGACTGGGTTTCTGTGGTGGGTGTGGGGTAAAGCACACATCTGCAGGGGCGTGACCCTGTATACCCTTAAATCATACAGTGTTGTAAACCGGCGTTCCCTTAATAAACACAATTTTTACAAAAGTGTAAAATCCAAAAATAAATTGTACTTTAGTCACTTGGTGCTAAAGTGAGAAACTATACACCTGAAAGCAATACAGTGTTGTAAACTGGCATTGACTAACTAACTTAAAAAAAAAAAAGTAAAGTCTCCTGGTGTAATCCCTGTCTTTTATTTTGTTTCAGTTTTTAGGAGTTGCTATCTAAGTATG